AGATCTTGTACTTGAGTAAAAGTAGAAGTACTCAGATCTTGTACTTGAGTCAAAGTAGAAGTACTCAGATCTTGTATTGAGTAAAAGTAGAAGTACTCAGATCTTGTACTTGAGTAAAAGTAGAAGTACTCAGATCTTGTACTTGAGTCAAAGTAGAAGTACTCAGATATTGTACTTGAGTCAAAGTAGAAGTACTCAGATATTGTACTTGAGTAAAAGTAGAAGTACTCAGATATTGTACTTGAGTAAAAGTAGAAGTACTCAGATATTGTACTTGAGTCAAAGTAGAAGTACTCAGATCTTGTACTTAAGTAAAAGTAGAAGTACTCAGATCTTGTACTTGAGTAAAAGTAGAAGTACTCAGATCGTGTACTTGAGTAAAAGTAGAAGTACTCAGATCTTGTACTTGAGTAAAAGTAGAAGTACTCAGATCTTGTGCTTGAGTAAAAGTAGAAGTACTCAGGTCTTGTATTGAGTAAAAGTAGAAGTACCCAGGTCTTGTTCTTGAGTAAAAGTAGAAGTACTCAGATCTTGTACTTGAGTAAAAGTAGAAGTACCAGAGTGTAGGAATACTCTGTTACAGTCAAAGTCCTGCATTCAAAATGTTCCTCAAGTGAAAGTAGAAAAGTATTCTCATCTAAATATAGTGAAAGACAGTAAAAGTAGTCGTTGTGCAGATTGGTCCATTTCAGAATAATATATATGATATGTTTTATAATGATTGATCATGAAAGTGTTCTCAAAGCTGGTGAAGGTGCAGCTAGTTTGAAGTACTTTGTATACTGCAGGGTAGCTGGTGGATTTACTCCAGGTGGAACTAAAGTCTGATTTAACACTTGATTAGATTTCACATCATTCATCCACATCTGTGAAGTAACTAAAGGTATTAAATACATGGAGTGGAGGAAAAGTACACCATTTACCTCTGACTTATGTTTACTGCCACCTAAAAGTACCTCAAAAATAGTAATCAATAATGTATTGAAAAGCTATTTGGCTGATTGTGGTATATCGGCTCAGCCAGGTTATATGGGAGGCCCAGTCTACGTACAGATGGGTCACTCATTTTGAAATATTAAACTAGGTTTATTTTCTTTAATTGTTCATCCTCGTGTAGAATGCTATCACGAAACACACATTTGGTTGTTTATAGCAGTGGTTCTCAAATGGGGGTACGCGGACCCCTAGGGGTACGTTGGAGTACTGCAGGGGGTACGTGAGATGTATTTTATGTTAATGAAAAAACATAATTAATGCATTTAAACAAAATACTAATAGTAGATGAACTACTTTATTCAAAGTTTACAGAAACTCTGGATAATAACATGGGAAAAATAAACAGGGCGATCTCTTTTCCTCTCCCTCTCCTGACAGCCCGTCAGTCTCGTGCAACTCGCTGAACCTGTAATAAGTGACCCGACAGTAAAGAAAAAATATATTTATAACTAGTTTAGCTAGTTCCAGAGTAGATAAACTAGTGTGTAAGGTCTAACTCTTAGTGTATTTCGCTCACCGGTCCGTCACAGCGGCGGAGCTGTGATCATGCAGAGCTGCGTGTTCTCCGTCAGCAGCAGCTGATCTGATCTCTGATCTCTCTCTCGCGTCCGGTTAGACTTCACTCGCGTTTTTGTCCAAATCTATCAGATCTAGTTAATGATATGACTGCCTGCTTATCGAAGGACCTAAACAATAAGCGTTGCTTGGCAACGGCGTGTGGCCGCGAAGTATAGCGCAGCATAATGTTTATATGAGGGGTCAAAATCCCATGCTCATAAAATGCTCATATATTTGTTTCTCTTCATTCCCCACGCCCCAAAATAAATAAATATACCAATTTTAGGAAAAGTATCGAAGTTAGAGCAGTGTGGGTTTTATATGAACAGAGTTTCACATATTTCAAAACGCGAAGTGTAATAACTGCAGTTAGCCTCATGATGCTCAGTGAAGCTCGAGCCCATGTTTCATTAAGTACAACTTATCAAAAAGATCAGTTCAATGCAGCTCATGTCGTCTCAGTGTTATTGCATGATGTTAAAATTGGTTTGCCATGAATTTAGTGATGGATTGTAAACATTTGAAATGTAGCTTACGTGTTTCTCAGTAACTTACAATGTTGTTGTTTTAATGAATCAGACACTGATGGTGCAGCGCTGTGCTGACTGTACCTCTTTATAGCCTATAGGCATTTTGTCCCTAACAAATAGTTTCTGCGCTGATCAGGGGGTACTTGGCGGAATATTTTTTTCAAAGGGGGAACATTATTGAAAAAAGTTTGAGAACCACTGGTTTATAGCATCAAGAACATCTGATTTAATGTGAGGTAGGGAAATAATCATTTGAGTATAAGTATGTGTATATAAATATGTAATTTACAACCGCTGTAAGATGCTTGAAAAGCTTGGAAATGCACCTTGAAAATGCTTGAAAAGTGCTTGAATTTGACTTTGGAAAAGGTGTAAGAACCCTGATCTTGTGATGGTTAAAAGTAAACAAACAAACCTTTTTAAACAACTATTTTAGTGTCTAATGTTCACCGGTCAGCCTGTTGAAGGTTCCTAGTTCTCATGAACCCCTGACTCGTCCCACTTGCTGTTATCGGGTACTTCTCAAATGCCCTTTGACAAATACACTTCTGACCCAATGACGGCACAACATCAAAATCATTTAATGGTTTATATAAAATATATAGTATCTTCAAAAGTTGAAACACTGACATGTATTTTCTTTGAACAATGCATACCTGTCAATTCCAATACCCTGCCATTGTTCTGAAGCAAACAGTGCATCGGAGAAAAAGTCAAGCTGAGCAAGTCGCTGTTCCGGAGGTAATGACTCGCCCTGGCCCATTTTCTGTTTGGCTGGGAGCACAAAGAGCAGAAGAACGTTTCATGATGTCTGTGTTAACTAACTGATTGTGTAATAAAGAGCCTATCTTCTGTCCATACATAAGGAAAAGCTGTTTTGATAAGAACTCCTTGCAACTTGCAGGCAATCAGAATCGAATATGGACCCAGATCAAGGTATACAAAGTTATATAAAAACTCAGTGAATACAAAAACATATACCCAGAAACTAAATAGGAAAGAATGTGTACATTGTTGTTTTGAAGCAGTCTATCTGGAGGAAGCATTAACTTACCTTATGAGAAGAGAACTGTTAATGTTTACCACAGTGGTTAAAAGTTAACTTTGCACCATTGAGTCTTGTTGAGATATTGAAGAGATAAGAGATGTATAAACAAACTACGAGCACGAAGTCCTCTTTGTGTCTGTCTTTCAGAATTAAAACAAAAAACATTATCATGATGCAAAACTCCTAGAGATTCTACATTATCAAAAATAAGTCCTGTTAATTGATTTTCTCCTTTGCTCATATGTCCTTATCAGCATTAAGATCTGGGGCCTGAAATATTGTAACCACTATTGGATGGATCATCATTGGTTGGTAGCGCCACCAGCAGAAGACGGTCTTGATATACCGGAGTGTAATGAAAATAGGTTTGACTTTGCTTTATATACTGATGCCAGAGTTTGCCGATCAACATGTCCGTTAAAGTTTACATTTTCCGGACAAAATGAGAAAAGGTCTTCTTTGTTATTTTATTGAGCTTTAAAACAAATTGATAACGACTCTATTTTAAACAAACTAATTATAGTATATTAACTACATTATTCAAAAGTGTACAGTAACTTTGCATAATAACAAGGGAATAATAAACGGAGCCCCTCTCTCTCCCCCCCTCCCTCCCTCTCTCTCTGACAGCCTGTCAGTATCTCATGCAGCTCACTGATCCAGTTATGAGTGACCCGACAGTGAAGAATAAATATATTTATAACTAGTTTAACTTGTTCCAGAGGTAGATCAAATAGCTAAGTGTGTTAGTTCTAGCTTGAATTGTGTGTACACCAAACAATAAGCGTTGCTTAGCAACGAGGTGTGGCGGCCAAGTATAGCGCAGCATTATGCATTTATTTACATGAGGGGTCAAAATGTCTCCTTCAGGAGGATGAATCTCGTTCTCCACATTAAATGTAGGACATTAGAATGTACTCTTCTTGTCTGTCACATAAGTGGCGCAACTGATGCGGTATTGCGCTAAGGGAAATGATTTTGACCGGAGAGATTTAGATCTGCCGGTCTTCAGCATATTTTACCGGTCAAAGTCCGGTAATTACCGGCTAACTGACCCCCTAAATATCCCCATAAACCCCCCTAAATATCCCCATATAGGACTGGGAATGAGACCATTAACTGAGGTCATTCATAGAGTGAGAAGTAGGGTCATTTTCTTTTCAGAGTTTTACGGGGCGTGGTTTGGAATTCTCCCAGCCAATCAGAAATTGTTAGTGTGGCCGACACACCCACGAACCATTTCCTCCTCAGGAAAGTACTACCGCTCTAGCAGGGACTATCTGGGGGTGAAAAGGTTTGCGCGAACTAGGGACTAGTTCCAGATCTTTTTGGTGTGAACGCAAAATCCCAAGAACTATCGGCCTAGTTCTTGGGAAAAGTACTCCGGTGTGAAAGCGCCTTATGATTACCTACAAGAACCGGTATTCCTCCATCTTGTGACTGTGTAACTCCCTCTCTTGGATATCAGCATGTGAAGGACACTGTTCAGGAACTAGTAGATGCTCTGTATGTGATGACTACTTTTTTGAGATTTTGAGAAAAAAGTCAGAATGTTGAGAAAAACGTCAAAAACCAACATTTTGAGAAAAAACTCAGTATTTTGTACATGACAGGATTTTTTATATGTTTTTTTATCGGTACTGGAGACATGTAACAAATATGTCGTATGTATTATTGCTACATAAACATTATATTGCAGTTTTAGTGTCGCCAACTCCGTTTCTGCAAAATGCGTCTATGATTATTTTTAGTATTTTCGATCTTTTGAATCCAGTCGAGATCTCTCTCCCGCCTGCTTGCGAGGGGGCGGGGCAGTTTACACACAGGCAGCTGCTACATTCAGCAACACACACACACACGGAGGAGATGGCCGAGAGAACGCGCTCCAAGGTGTGGTTAAACTTTACCCGTCTCGATGTGGAGAATGCTCGTTACCAAAAGTGCAATAAGAGTTTAGCATGTGAGGGCGGTAACACGAGCAATGTGTCTAAACATTTATCAAAAGTGCTCCACATTCAGACGGAGGAATGTACCGGGTTCGACCGTCTTTCTAGCAGCTCTGTAGCCCCGTCCACGAGTAACGTTTCCACGTCAGGTGTTATGTATGCTAGCAGCAACACACGGAGTTAACTACATTATACAAACATTAATGATTAGAGGAAACCGAGTTATTTAGTTTGTTAGAGTTTCAGCTATTCTGTTTACAGTTCTGTCATCAGATTATTTAATACGATTTGTTAAAGCATTGTTGTTTCTTTTGATGATAAATATTATTTATTTAATTTAAATAAAAAGCAATGTTAGTTTTGTTCACAATGTGTTTAGTTAGTTTACCTTTTCTTTTTCTCCAAAAGAACCGATAAGAGTCCCGTTAAAAGACCGGACCGATAAGCGGTATCGATAAAAGTAGTAGTACCGTTAAAACCTTAATGATACCCATCCCTATATAAGCGCAATGGTGAAAATCAATTAACAGGACTTCTTTTTGATAATGTTGAATCTCTAGGAGTTTTGCATCATGATAATGTTTTTTGTTTTAATTCTGAAAGACAGACACAAAGAGGACTTTGTGCTCGTAGTTTGTTTAAACGGTAAACATACAGAGGCTTTGGACATCTCTTATCTCTTCAATATCTCAACAAGACTCAATGGTGCAAAGTTAACTTTTAATCACTCTGGTAAACATTAACAGTTTCTTCTTTTAAATCTGACAGAGATACCTGAACCCTCTCGACAGAGGAACCCATTACCACTGGATCGTTGTTGATTGATTATTTGTACAGTTCTCTTCTCATAAGGTAAGTTAATGCTTCCTCCAGATAGACTGCTTCAAAACAACAATGTACACATTCTTTCCTATTTAGTTTTTTGTATTCACTGAGTTTTTATATAACTTTGTATACCTTGATCTGGGTCAATATTCGATTCTGATTGCCTGCAAGTTGCAAGGAGTTCTTATCAAAACAGCTTTTCCTTATGTATGGACAGAAGATAGGCTCTTTATTACACAATCAGTTAGTTAACACAGACGTCACAAAACGTTCTTCTGCTCTTTGTGCTCCCAGCCAAACAGAAAATGGGCCACGGACCGTCATTACAGGAAAAGCAACTTGCTCAGCTTGAAGTGTTTTCAGAAGGACTGTTTGCTTCAAAAAATTGGCACGGTATTGGAATTGACAGGTATGCATTGTTTACTTCCCAAATGAAAATACATGTAATTGTTTTAACTTTTGAAGATACTATATATTTTATACAAACCATTTAATGATTTTGATGTTGTGCCGTCATTGGGTCAGGATTGTATTTGTCAAAGGGCATTTGAGAAGTACCCGATAACAGCAAGTGGGAAAAGTCAGGGATTCATGAGAACTAGGAACCTTCAACAGGCTGACCCGGTGAACCCTAGACACTAAAATAGTTGTTTAAAAAGGTTTGTTTGTTTACTTTTAACCATCACAAGATGCTCCCACAGAGCTGCAACGACGTACTTATCTCTGCAGATCCTCCCTCTCAAGCCGTCGGTATACTATCGGAATAATTACTCACTAACAAACATCAATAGATCTCCATAAACGACTGCCAATCCTACATTGTCCTAGTCACTCATGGTGTCCCCCAGGGTCCAGTCCTCGGCCCCCTTCTTTTTGTACTGTAAATCCTTCCCCTCTGACAAATCCTGCTTCCCTGCTATACCGATAACATTCAACTTTAACCTCCAAAGTCTTCTTACTGATATTAAATCTTGGATGCAACAGAACTTCCTTCAACTCCACTGCAACCCATCAGAAACACTCAATCAGCCCAACTCTGACATACAGTAACAATGAATACATGCTTAGTCATGAGATAACTGACCATATCAGAGTACATTAGACCCATGACCAGAGCAATGATCACCCACTGTGTGGTCACATGACACTTTGTGACTGCACACCTTCCTGAATGCTGAGATCTACTGTCTGTTGACATGAAAGGCTTAGAGAATATTATTATTTATATGTTAAATATAACATTATAGCATTCAATTCTCTGATAATCATCATTTCCATTACAGAAGACTAATGAATATTTCTCTGCACTCAGCTCCCTGCTAAGTTACTCTGGACTCAACTCAACCGATGTGCTGGACAGTTACCGTGAACAAGTCTTTAACGATGAAGAACCCCTCGATGTTCCAAGTATTGTAGAGAAGCTGGGTGGTGCACTCGCTGGGTTCACAACCGTGCCCAACGCTGTGGGACTCGGTGCTCTCATCATTTCCATGATCTTAGAGTCAATAGGGGAAAAAACCATGGGCACGGCTGAAATGTTGCAGAGGGTGTTTGCAGACGAGAAGGCCAACGAGGTGAGACCCTGATGGTTTCTCAGTTTAATAACAGGTGCTTAAGGTTAGCTGCTGCGACTTCCTTCCTTTGTTTCCATTAAGCCGCTTAAAACAAGCATTTTAACGCCTTGTATTTTTATTTATTTATTTTACTCACAGCTGTGACGACTAGTTTGCGTGTGTTGATGTTGTGCAACTTGGGCCACTTAAATAGGCCTTTATAATATTCGATCAAATGAAAACAATAAAGGAAATATTCTAATTAAATGATAAACAAACTAATATTGTTTTCTGTGCATATCTGTGTCTCCTAAAGGCTTGGGAATTGTAGTCTTTCATAGTCTCTTGACTACAGAATCGATATATACAACGATGACCAATATTTGAAATAGGCTTTCACAAATATTGATATTCTTTTACTGTGAAGGTCCGAGACCTGATGGACGAGTATTTGAAGCGTCTGCAGATCAACTTGGGGAAGCCACAGCTCCAACTAGCTGAGACCCGGCAAATAGAGCTCGATCTCAGTGTGCAGCTAACGCGGCTAAAGGTACAACCTTTTAAAGTCTTCCAGCTGTATTTGAAGGATCATGCTACATTGATATCTCCTGTTATGTCCTTCTCAATCACTAATTCACTCATTTGAATAAATTGTTTCTCAGGAGGTCCTTTGAGGAATTCAATTTAACTTAAAACGTTAATTCAACCGTTAACTCAAATGTAAATGGTAAAGTGGGATAGGCTAGATAAGCATAATGTACACTGCCTTCTATTCTGTATATATATATATATATATGTATATTGTGTATTCAATGTATATACTCTATAGATATATATATCCTCATTATTGATATGTTTATATTCACTGTTTTGCATATTTAGTTAATCTTGGCGACGAGACAGTTTCCCAATTTGGGATCATTAGAGTATATCTTATCTTAATCAGTAAGTAATCCTATTGTCGTGGCGTTTTAATCTGTTTCTACATTTAATAACCACTTTCGTCTATCTGTCTAACTTCTTCTAGTGTGACTCACAACAATGATATTAATAAGACAAACATTCAGTGGCGACTGGTCATTAGGTTAAGGTAGGGCACAGCCCCACCTAGTGTCAGCAGAAAGTATTAAAATAATGATTACAACAAAATGCAAAAAATAAATTAAAATATATATAAAATATATTTTAAGATCATGTTTAATCATCTGATTCGTCTCATTGCTGTTTTAGTCTGTGTTCTTCTAATTAGTGTCTACTAGGGGTGTAACGGTTCACAAACATTTCGGTTCAGTACGTACCTCGGTTTTTTGGTCACGGTTCGGTTCGGTACGTTTTCGGTACAGCAGAATTTTTTTTCACAAAACATATATATATATATATTTATTATTATTATTAAACTGTGAATAATGTATTCACTCAAATAAATACAAAATATAATAAAATGAACATTAAGGTGCAGCATTTCGATGAACTGAAATAATCTGTATTTGTACTGTACTGTACTAGCACCTAAGCAGCCAGCTTGACATTAGGACTTGCTTGTCATTGTATTTTCATGTTGTTTAAAGAAAGATGAACTTGTCCACATTGCTGCTGAAAGGGCAGATCTGCTGGCACTAACAATGTCTCCTGCTGTGGAGAACACCCTCTCGCTAGGGACAGAGGTAGCAGATACAGCCAGGTAGCGCTTTGCTAACATGGCAACATAAGGATATTTGGCGTTTGTAATAGCTTTGGCTCGGTCTGAACTCTCTGCGAGTGGTGGAGGCTTACATGCTAGCGGGAGTTGGGTTTGCACTTCAGTCTTTTTTCTTTTGGTACCGGTGATATTCACGTTCGAGTGATGCCTTTTCAAGAGTGTGCAAGTTTGATGTATTGCCAGCCGCGTAACCAATGTTAGTTGAACAATGCCGACAAACAGCTTTGGTTCGGTCCACCTGTCTTTGTCCGTCATCCTTGTACGTAACTGCGAAACCAAAATGTTCCCAAACCGGAGACTTAAATGATGCTGGAGGATTTTCTAGCTCAACTTTATCTGCGTTCGTCATTAATTTTCGATAGTTCCTCAAATTACTGATTACATATGAACGCATCCCTCTGACCAGCTCTCATAGTATGCCTCTCATCCAATGAAATGACTTGCTCGCTCTATGACGCGTTGAACCCAATGTGAGCAAATTACTCTGAATGCTGCGACGCAGCACCTGAGATTACTTCCAAAAAGTTGTTCACGTTTTCAATTTTTTACGTTTAACGTTATATTCGTTCGATACACTTCGGTACACACGTGTACCGAACCGAAGGGCCCGTACCGAATAATTTCGGTACGTGTACCGTTACACCCCTAGTGTCTACAGTGTGTGCCTATTGAGCTGTTTAGAGCCATGTGGGACAAAACCCGATCCTGCCCCTCCCTCTCACTGTCTAAGTGAACAGTGACTGTAAAAACTACACTGCGCTATTTAATGTGTGTGGCAAAAAATAATGATCATAGGGGCATAGAGCTGCCATCCCCACCATACGTCATCTCACATCATTCAGAGCTGATTGGCTGTAAGTACGTGTGCCGCGAAAAGTGTGGTGTGTGAAGAGCAGGTGAAGAGGAGGAGAGAGACGCGTCCTAAAACCCGGAAGTAAGCTGCGCATGGCTTCCCTCCACAAAAAAGCAATGAGATTTCTCCATAGGATTTTAGAAAATAGCTCAAAATAAGATCTGTGGGAAACAAACCTGTTAGATAAATGTATGTTTTGTTCAGCCGGATAATATCCACATGTCTACCCTACTTTTATAATTTTCGAATCATAAATCCATCATTTAGATTTATGATAGACTTTTGAAACTACAAGAACATAAGGAGGACTTTTACAAAAAAGTAATAGAGATGTTTGTCCAGAAGGATAGGCAAATGGACTTAATCTTCAAGTCAAGGTAAGACCGCAATGTTATTGAAAATGGGATCTTACTAAGAGAGAACAATTCAATATTTAAATGATAAAATTACATTTTTTGGGTATCCTTCTGTTGAACTGACTGTTTAAAATTAATTGAAGCATCAGACTAAAAAAGCTTTTGAAAATAATATTATATTTTGATTTAGGTCAAAATATAATATTTGTAAACCTGAAGAGTCAGAGCCTCACCAGCCATGAACCTCACTGCAGAAGCTTATAGACATCTAAGTTGTTTGTGCCCCACCACTTTTGTACATATAGAAACGCCACTGCAAACATTCAAACCATAATGATGAAAGGAAAATGGCTCTAACACCTATTGTGATCCTTTTTCTTTCCCAGAACTCCATGCTGGTCGATGGACATATGAACTCTATGCTTCTGAAGCAGTGGGTGAACGGCGCTGCGTTTCACACCCAGATGTTGATCCATCAGGCTCGTCTGGAGGAGGCCGACGGGTCGAGAGCGGTGCGAGCAGCGGGCGTTTATCAGCAACAGCTCAACGTTATTATGGACAGATACAAGAAGTACCTAAATGGTATTACAAGTATACGCAACAGATATGTCCCACATGTACCAAACAGATGTTATCTGTATTTCTACGAGGGGCCGTTGCCTCGTCATGAAGCTGCAGGGTGCTATATGGACTATGACTTGTGTGTCACCGAAACTGAACTGGTTGAGCATTTGTTTTCGAAACAGCAGATTTCTTGGACAACGAGTTATTTCACAGATTTAGCAGCAGATATTCCGACTCTTGTGAGACAACATGCCGCCTTTCAAATCCAAAACCAACATTGAAGCTCTTTGTTTGTGAAGCCATGAGACCAACATCAAACCAAACTTTACTCTTAAACTCAAAAAGGCAAATATTTTAAACTGGACACACAACGGATGTCCAGACTAAGAGAGAACAACTATTGCTATGACATTTGGTTTATCCATCCATGGTGACCATAGGATGAATCCTGATGACATTATCAAGTCCACATTTATAATTTGCCCAATAATTTGGTTTATGTTAAAAAAACTGTAAAACTAAACATTCCCATAATCCTCAGCTGTGCTTTGTGTTTCTGTAAATGAAAGCAATCTGACGCAATTTAGAAAAACGGTACACAGTGACCGTTAAACCTGTTAGCATATGTTAGCTTAGTCATTGTTAGAAAGTTAGCATGTTGAATTTAGCATTTAGCCGAGGGCACAATACTCAGGCCCTGCAATAAAGAACTCTTACTGTATGCCTTATGAAGGCACAATAACAAGGAGAGAGACATGCTATGCAGAGAGTTGGTCAATGTCTGTGTATGTGTTTCGTGTATCTGCATTTGCATGTGAGGTTGGTAAGGGTTAGATGCAGTGGATTTTCGATTTGCATATTTTTACAACCAATGTCTTATTATTGAATTGTTTTAAAGTTCATACAACAAACGTCCTAATTCTGCTCTCAAAGTGCACCAGATTGATGCATTTAAAGGGGACCTATCGTGCAAAATGCACTTTGTGATGTCTTTTATACATACATGTGTCCCCGGTGTGTCAGGGAACTCACGCAGCGTCAGAAAATAAAACCCTCTCTCTTTTCCTCGTTACCCAAATCTCTAAAAAAGGGCTGCAACGGATCTGATACAGACTGATAGAGATTTGAAATTGCTCTGACGTCAGGAACAAAGAGCTCCGCCTATCCGGGCAACTCTCCACCATGGATGTATAATAAGAACATGTGTGGTTGTTTTGTTCTCTTTTGAGTTCTAAAACAATATATCTTAGTTGTAAAAGTTAAAATAATGTTATTTTGTTATAATTGGATCCTCCTTCCCATGTTTGTATTTCCTCAGGATGGCAACACTTGAAGTTCTGATGTTTCATTTGGTAATTGGTGCTTATTCTGTTCTGTTTCAGATGTAGTGCCTTCTTCCTGTCAGGACTCTGCTGCCCCCTGCTGGCGGTCTGAGGAATCACATGTTGAATTGTTTAAATGCTGATGTTTACTCTGAATAACAAAGTATTTCTATAATTAAACAAGATCAACACTTGTCTTCAATGTATGTTTTTGAGGCTCTCAATATTCACTCACAGATACCATTGATCCTTTTTCAGATCCTCAACAAAAATGAAGTTGTTGGTTAAATAGTTTTTCAATCAAATAGTTTTTCAATCAATATTTTGTCTATCTTTGTCTAGTTTGGACTTATGATGATCAATAATATAGTAAATGTACAGTTTTACAGCCTGACCGAGCCCCGAGCTTTAGGTGTACGTCTTTCCTCAAAACAAAAATAACAGTGGTTAATAATACAGAATATAAATGGTATTGTAGGTCAAAATAATATTACTATTTACTACAAATAGTGAGTAAAAATCTAGAATCTTCAAAAATAATGTCGTAATTTTATGTGAAAATAAATGTGGATATACCCTGAAAAAGATACATTTGCAATAAATACCTATCAAACTAGTTTTTCCTTTTTGCTAAATCCTATTGCAGAGTCTCATTTAATTAGGTTACCATTTTTACAAACATAATGCACGGTAAGCATCCTTTACGGTGTTATCAGGTTCAATCTTTTTTTAAGTAAAGTTTCTTCTAAAATGTACCTCTCGTAAAATGTTTTTTTCCCTGCATATGAGTACATTTATCTATTTTTCCCCACAATGATCATAGTGCATTAACTCATTATATAAATGTCTGTAAAAAGTTTTAGAGTCATTCGATTTTTCACAATTTTACATTGTAAGTTCAGACAAATGAAGCTCAGCGCAAGTTCAACCAGGAAGACCGTCTTTACTCTTCATTTACTATTTCCATGTTACTACTCTCTCTCCATTCACCACCACCAGGGTCAAGCTAAGCCCCTCCCCTTCAGACCAACCCAACTATCCATTCACCACCACCAGGGTCAAGTTAAGCCCCTCCCCTTCAGACCGAACCCAACCATCCATTCACCACCACCAGGGTCAAGCTAAGCCCCTCCCCTTCAGACCAACCCAACTATCCATTCACCACCACCAGGGTCAAGCTAAGCCCCTCCCCTTCAGACCAACCCAACTATCCATTCACCACCACCAGGGTCAAGCTAAGCCCCTCCCCTTCAGACCGACCCCAACTATCCATTCACCACCACCAGTGTCAAGCTAAGCCCCTCCCCTTCAGACCGACCCCAACTATCCATTCACCACCACCAGTGTCTAGACCCCGGGGGGGTTTCATCGGACCGGTTCTCCCCTCCCGAATGATACTTCCTGCACAACGGGGCCTAATCGCCAAAACTCCATTACATTCATTTGTGTATTCCTGGCGATAAATATGTGTTCTTATCTTATCAAGAAGAAACAGCTCCTTTGTGAGGTCACTAACTTGTGATGAACATGTGACGGAGAACTGAAGAAGCAGCAGATCGACCAATAGCTGCAGGGTGAGTATTAAATGTGCCATATTATGTTTATTTTCAGGTCAAACTGTGAGTTTTGAGCCTTTGCAGACCATTAACATGCACTTAAACCTACAGAACACACTACAGGAAAGGGAGAACCCCCAAAAAGCAGACTTTTTAATAAGTAATAATGAAACAGAAGCCCCTCTGCACTTATCCACACATTTAATGTTCAGACAGAAAAGCACAGCAGACATTTTAAACACAGATGGTTCACAGATTTAAATAAAAATGAGGGACATGTTGTCTCTAAAGCACGGGGACGGAGACGGGCTTGTGTTTCAGGAAGTTCACGAGACGCGTGGGCATGTCCAGCTGATCGATCAGATGCATCCGGTCCATCGTCTTCAGGTGAGCGCGGACAGCGAGGCGGCACTGGGAGGACAAGGCCTTTGGGTTCCCTGCAGAGAGAGGAGCGAAGAAGAGGAACTTAACACTCGGGAAACACGAAGTAATACGGTAACACAAACACTCTCCTCATACCTCTCTCCTCCAGCATCAAAAATGATTTGCAAAGACTTTCACTTTGTTGTGATTACATCTGTTTAAAATGACCCTTTGCTGCCTCACAAGCTGTTTGAGGCAGAAATCCGTCATATTCAAAGGATCAAGTTTAAGGAAGTGATGGTTGGGTACCTCTCCCATCCAGCAGCTCAAGGGCACCACGGCAGGGCAGGAGGTGAACTGGGACCTCTCCAAGTAGCAGTCCACACTCCATATTCAGGTCTGTTCGGGGACTTGAACCGGCGACCCTACGGCTCCCAGTCCAAGCCCGTACTGACTGCGCCACTGCCGCGTGCTTTTATTTGTATCCTATGTTGTTATTGTGTTTTTATCACTTCTTAACACGTGGGTTGTGTGGTCATTTATTATTTTATGATGTTTTAATGTGTTGTCAAGCACTTGTCTGTGAAAAGCGCTTTATAAATAAATTGTACTGACTTTACTAACAAGCTGTTTAAGGCGGAAATGGGTCATATTCAAAGTGATTCCATCTGTTCAAAATGACCCTTTGTTGTAAGTTTAAAGAAGTGATGGTTGAGTACCTCTCTCCTCCAGCAGCAGCTCCACGGCCTCGTTCTGCTTGGTGGACTTCTCGATGATGAGCGTTGGGAGGTAGACGTTGGCTCCGAAGTCGATGAGCAGCTGCACGAACTCCACCCCGCAGCCGTGCCTCAGACACATCTCCAGCACCGTCTTGGGCTGCTTGATGGAGCCCAGCAGCTTGGCGTCCGTGCAGTTATAATCCGGATCCGCCCCGTAGAGCAGAAGCAGTCTGAAACACTCCATGTGTCCGTAAACCGCCGCCAGGTACAGCGGACCGCTAGAAACTCTGGCGCTGGACGTCCAGAGGAGAACTTTAGAGCGAGAATTCACCTCAGCGCCTCCATCTAGCAACTCTTTCAAGATCTTCACGTCTCCTTCTCGCGCCGCGGTTAGCACGGGAGAGCAGTTATTGGACGAATTACCGTTTGGGTTAGCTCCGGCTTTTAAGAGCGCTAACACACAATCCAGGTATTTCCCACGGACGGCTGAGAATAGCGGCGTTTGAGCTTTGACGTCGACACAATCCACGAGTGCCCCGCGACCCAGAAGCACCTGAAGGCAGCTCAGGTGACCTTTGGAGACGGCGGCGTGCAGCGGCGTGCCCGAAACGCCCCATCCGCCGCGGCAGTTGATGACCTTTTTGTAGACTTCTTGGCAGAGCATTTCATCGAGGAGCCGGGCATCGTTTTGTAACACGGCCTGTCGGAGAAGAGAGATCTCGGAGCGGCTGCTTTCTTCTTCTGCAGTCCTGAGCTGGAGCATAGAAGCTGCTGGAAGACAGAGGGGATACAGACGGAGGGTTAGACGCTGACATTTAGACCTGAAAGACACGTAGCGAAAGTTCTTGTAGCTACAGTGAGGTTACAACTAACACTTATTGGATGTTTTATTGTTGTTTTGTGGAAAATCTCGGTTTCTATGTCTTGAAAAGTTCAGTCCAAAACTCACAGATATTAACTTCAAATATATATAGAACAGATAAAAGGAAAGGAAATAATGAATTACACACCAAATCTATACTTGAAAGGCTCACTTTAAGATGCATAGAGTAACTTATTGGAGCTACAGTGAGGTTAACACTAAGAATGACTTCATTTTGTATTCATCATTTGATGGAAAATGTCAGAATATTGTGAAAAATCTGAGTTAAAATGTGCTCTGAGTCCAAAGCTCACAGATATTAACTTCAAATAGATGAAGAACAGATAAAAGCAGAATAAAGGAAAGGAAATTATGAATTAGACACCAAATCTATACTTGAAAGATACGTAGAGTGACATTTATTGTTGCTACAGGAAGGTTAAAACTAACAATTACTCTATTTTTTACTCATAGTTTGATGGAAAATGTCTGTTTTTCTGTCTTCAATGTGCTCCGTCAGTCCAAAACTAACAGATATTAACATCAAATTGATAAAAAACAGATAAAAGCCGTTATTCTCAGCACTAAAGGAGCATTTTCAACCATTCCCCCTGAAAGGACCCAGAGGAATAATTGCTCATCAAAATAGTTGGTGATTAAGAATCTGTTAATCTAATCATTGCCATTCATTTCACTTCTGAATGAAACAAACAAAACTGTTTTACGATGGATGAAGCAGAAAGTCAAATATGTTTGTTGTTTTATTCAATTATAGCAACTTCAAATAACTTGTGAAAATAAAGGTTTGCTGGAAAATTCAGCTTAGAAATAATGTCAAAAATACTGCATTTATTTCTTAACCCTTATGTCGTGTTCGGGTCTCCCGTGACCCGTTTCAAGTTCTAATGATATATAACTACGCTCTAGTGTCTTGTATCGGAACGAGGCCTCATGATATCCTCTAACAGATATATAAACACTACAAACCTGATTTTGACCATTTGAGCCGAGTCTGAAGGTCTCGAAAAAAAAAAGTGTATAATTTGGTGTTCGGGTCCCAGCAGCATGTCGTGGGTCACTCGGGGTCAAATTTGGCCCAATCAAGATTCATCTTTGACTTTAGACATTGGTCCGTGCGCAAAGCATTGTGGGGATTTTAAGACCACAGAGGATACACATGTGCAGCCTCGAAATGTCTCGCTACGAAGGACGCCAGGCCTCGGTAGAATTCCAAGTATGCTGGACATTGGAACAGTCCTTCGGCGGCACTCGATGACGTAGCATCCTTGAAATAGTGGCTTTGGAGCAGCCTTACTTGACATTGAGAAATACCCCTGGTCTCCCCTCCCTCTCCCCCCCCCCCCTCCCCCCACGGGAAGAATATGTGCACTAACACTTGAACCTGAACTCACACATGCACGTGTGCAATATGTGGTGTAATGAGTTTTGGGCCATTACATTACATTACAACAGGACGGTTATGAACGCATAATAAGTTAGTTATGATGTAGTTAAAACAATATTGGATGATAGTCATTGTTTGTGAGTGTTT